AGTGGTGATCTAAAGCACGCAAATATTTCATATACTTACTGCTTTTTTTTGTTTTACTCATCGTCACAAGCTTGAAACGTATTTGATCAGAGGACGAAACGTTTATAAAACCAGTTTATCAGGAAGCAAGGCCTCCAATAAACAATACTTCAATACAAGAATACAGCCATGTATATATCCTTTACCCATTTCTACGCAATACATATTTCTAAACATTCCAAAAAAAATGAGCTCTAGAAACATGAAAGGCAGTGTTTCTGTGTGATATCGTCATGCATGCTCAAACACGTGTTGAAGATTTCTATCAAAATGTAAAGTTAAGTCTGAATGAAAAGCTGAATTCAAAGCCCGCTTCTCTTAGTTGTGGTAGTTTTTAAGTTTTCCATTCCTTAGTAATCGGCAATAACATGATGGAAATAGTTACTCTAAAGGTTGCGCCCATGCAAGTCCAGTATATAACAGAAATATATTTACCGACAGGTGATCGATGCTGTAGGTTGGAGAAAAGTCGGTTTGTTTGTGCTTTATGTCCATTAACAGNCTGCAGCACCTGGCCAACATAGGCCTTGAACCCATGACCCAGTGGTGGAGGACTAGTGATCTAGATGGTCAGACACCTTGATCCAGAGCACATCACAAATTAGTTAAACTTAATGACAAATGATTGATGTTGTGTGGTTTTGAGATTTGAGATTGCTGATTTTGTAACATTGTTCTACTCCAGTCCACAGCCCATACAGGATTCTTAAGGTTTATTTTCCGATGTATATGAGCCATTTATAATGAAGTAGACAACCTACCAGAGATGTGGCCTTCATAAATTAAGGCTCAACTATAATAATATAAAATAAATTTATTTTACAAAATTATGAAACAAGTTATTTCAACTTATACTAAATCAGTCTTGATGGCCAGGATGTTAGCATATATATTTAGTGTGCAGGTCAACTTCAGTCCCACATCACGGTGCTTACTCAATTATGATTTATATTCAAAAACGTATGTTAATATTTTAGTGTTTAAAACAACTAAAACCAACTATAATCCACGTTTCTCATTTTGAAACAATCTATTATCAACAAAAATTGCCTACAAACTGGCTCTAGGTTGTGGGGCTGCACTTTTTGGAATAAGTACTGTAATAATGATAGCAGACAGAATTTTAAACAAATACATATAGATCTGAAAGTATAGGATCGTATTTACATAAATACACAACATAACACCTGTAATAAATACAAAACAGAGTACATGCTAAACCAACACAAACATGTATGTATCACTAGCCAAAATAAACACTGTTCTCAACTGAGGTTGTCTAGGGCTCCAAGCATCTGGTCCTGTGGAAACCTGTGTGGGTTGCCACCATGGTGCATGGGTATGTGGAAGGTAGTGTGGGGCTCTGTGGTGTGGCATGTGGGCTTGTAAAAGGGCTGTGTGGGGCTCTGTGGCAAGTGGGCTTGTGGAAGGGCTGTGTGGGGCTCTGTGGTATGGAATATGGGCTTGTGGAAGAGCCATGTGGCATGTGGGCTTGAAGAAGGGCTGTGTGGGGCTGTGGCAAGTGGGCTTGTGGAAGGGCTGTGTAGGGCTCTGTGGTATGGCATATGGGCTTGTGGAAGGGGCATGTGGGCTTGTAGAAGGGCTGTGTGGGGCTGTGGCAAGTGGGCTTGTGGAAGGGCTGTGTAGGGCTCTGTGGTATGGCATGTGGGTTTTTGGAAGGGCTATGTGGCATGTGGGCTTGTGGAAGGGCTGTGTGGGGCTGTGGCAAGTGGGCCTCTTGAATACTGTGTGGAGCTCTGTGGCATGTCTATGGGAGGATGTGTGATGTTACATTACATGTGGGCCTGTGGAAGGTGGTGTGGGGCTCTTTGGTGAGGCATTTTGGCCTGTGGAAGGTGGTGTGGGGCTCTGTAGCGTGGCATGTGGGCCTGTGGAAGGTTGTGTGGGCTCTGTGGTGTGACATGTGGGCCTGTGGAAGGTTGTGTGGGGCTCTGTGGTGAGACATGTGGGCCTTTGGATGGTGGTTTGGGGCTCTGTGGTGAGGCATTTTGGACTGCGGAAGGCTGTGTGGGGCTCTGTGGTGTGACACGTGGGCCTGTCGAAGGTTGTGTGGGGCTCTGTGTGGGGCTCTGTGGCGAGGCATTTTGGCCTGTGGAAGGCTGTGTGGGGCTCTGCGGAATATAGGCCTGTGGAAGGCTGTGTGGGGCTCTGTGGAATATAGGCCTGTGGAAACTAAGCAGCGTACCTGGGTTTCCTTTGGTTGTGGTACTTATGACAATGACCTGTGTTTGGTTCTGTGATCTTATGTGAGCTCTCCAGGATAGTGTTCTGTGTGGGGATCTGTTGGTCCGTCTGGTCTGTATGGGTTCTGCAGTGGGCTGTGTGGTTCTTAGTGTTTCTATGGACATCTGTGGACATTGAACAGTACAGGTCTCCGTAGACTTGGTACACTACTAACCTGTGTGGGGATCTGTTGGTCCGTCTGGTCTGTATGGGTTCTGCAGTGGGCTTTGTGGTTCTTAGTGTTTCTATGGACATCTGTGGACACTGAACAGTACAGGTCTCAGTAGACTTGGTACACTACTAACCTGTGCGGGGATCTATTGGTCTTTCTGGTCTGTATGGGTTCTGCAGTGGGCTTTGTGGTTCTTAGTGTTTCTATGGACATCTGTGGACATTGAACAGTACAGGTCTCCGTAGACTTGGTACACTACTAACCTGTGCGGGGATCTATTGGTTTGTCTGGTCTGTATGGGTTCTGCAGTGGGCTTTGTGGTTCTTAGTGTTTCTATGGACATCTGTGGACATTGAACAGTACAGGTCTCCGTAGACTTGGTACACTACTAACCTGTGCAGGGATCTATTGGTCTGTGAGGGGCTTTGAGTATGGGCTGTGTGGACAGGTGTACTCTGAAAAGTAGTTGGAGTCTGTGAATTAACTGTGTGGGACTATATATATGGATCTGTTAGGCTATGTGGTATTATGTTGGCCTAAGTACCATAGATATAAGATCACCTACTACTGTACCTCACTGTACTGTAACATGTGCATCTACCTTCTTCCTGTGTTGTTTATCTAGTCGGGATCAAATGCAGTGGAATGTCAACCACGAACAACAATGTTAATCAACCTGTTCCAGGCAGCAGCTTGACCCGTAGTGGTCTGTTAGGACTTCCCCAGGTACGCCCTCAGTATAGTAGTGTCCTGGGATCCCCAGCTAGATATCTACACTAGTGTTATAAGGGTACGCCCTCAGATATGACTTATTTATACAAATATATGTAACATATTACATTTATGACTTTGTAATATATTACATGCTCCAGCAATTAGCTTCCTGTATTTAACACTACTACATCACATGTAGATCACCTGTATATACACTATATACCCCAGGTCACCTGTATATACACTATATACCCCAGGTCACTAGTATATTATAGTCAGACACAATGAGGGAAATACAGAGATAAACAAACATACCTGTCAGCTCTATTTATGTATATCACATAACATAGCTGAGCAGCAGGCTCATCTCCAGTACACTTAAACATACATCATTGTAGATCAATCTTAACCCGACATATACCCCATCCCCCTCAGCTGAGCTCCAAACTACCCCACCATCCTACCATACCTGAATTAATAAGCTGACCCCCAATTAGCTAGTACCCAGTTACCTTTCTACCCCATCAGCTATAAACCAGCTATACCTCTCCACCTCCCTAATCAGCTGATAGCCAACTACTGACCCACCCGTCCTTTAGGTATTTCCTGGGACTGATACCCAGTTAAACCCTCTCTCATATACATTCTATTATAATGACCAACATATCCATATTTCAATATCAACCCTATGTGGTCAGTTTGATGTCTAATCTGACGAGACCATCTCTGGAATAAATGGGTGATCCTACTTAAACAGCCTATTCCATCCCATCACGAATTACATATAATATGTATCTGATATTCTCTAACCAGGTAGCTTTGGTCAGGCTTGTCCATCAGCATACAGCGTCTCAAGAACATTGACAATGAGCAGAATATGGTGGTACAATTTTATCTCATAGAATGGTTTCCCGGCCATATTGCAGTAGTCGTGTTGTTATGCAGGTGTTTCTAACCACACAACTGTCAATTACAATATATGTACAACCTCGTCTAGTATCAACAATTACAATACATGTACAACCTCGTCTTAGTAGTATCAACAATTACAATATATGTACAACCTCGTCTTAGTAGTATCAACAATTACAATATATGTACAACCTCGTCTTAGTAGTATCAACAATTACAATATATGTACAACCTCGTCTTAGTAGTATCAACAATTACAATATATGTACAACCTCGTCTTAGTAGTATCAACAATTACAATATATGTACAACCTCGTCTTAGTAGTATCAACAATTACAATATATGTACAACCTCGTCTTAGTAGTATCAACAATTACAATATATGTACAACCTCGTCTTAGTAGTATCAACAATTACAATATATGTACAACCTCGTCTTAGTAGTATCAACAATTACAATATATGTACAACCTCGTCTTAGTAGTATCAACAATTACAATATATGTACAACCTCGTCTTAGTAGTATCAACAATTACAATATATGTACAACCTCGTCTTAGTAGTATCAACAATTACAATATATGTCTAACCACATACATACATAACCATTTTCTCACCACAAATCCTCCACAGATCTCATTCATCACTTCTCAAAGATGACAGCTAATCCCAACTTTTCACCAAGATAGAGAACACAAACACAACCTTATGGATGAAATATGGGACACAATCTAAGGGATGGAGATAGCCCGGTCAACATGTAAACACATATACTTACCTAGAGTTTAATCCCAATACACTGCCAACTTGATTAGCATTCCTCAACACACTCATGTTTGGGTACAGTGTTTATCCGGCTACAGAGGCTGACCACAGACCATCTGCCAGATGCATTAACATATATCAGTAGTACCTACCTAACTGGTTCCTCCACCCCTACCAGCCATTCAGGCCCAGCACCACCACTACCACAGGAGATGTGCACTGTGTGTATAGTATAGTAGGAATGTGTAGTAAAAAGGGGGAGGAGGCCAGTGAGAGGCTGTTTATTATACTACAGCACAACAAAAAGTATTGTCAGCTTTATATGTGTAGTAAAAAGGAGAAGATCAGTGAGAGGCTGTCTATTATACTACAGCACAACACAAAGTATTGTCAGCTTTATATGTGTAGTAAAGGGGGGAGAAGGCCAGTAAGGGGCTGTCTATTCTACAAAGGAGGAGGAGGCCAAAACAAGTGAGATGTACACCACAACAAAAAGTATGGTTAGCTTCAAATGCCAGTTAAGACTATGATTCAATCGACTGTCCATCTTTAGGTTTCAAGAAATTAAAGACATTTTAACATTTTATACATTTTTTGTTTATTCTGTAATGGTATGTGTGTAATGTTGGTAGAATCCATAGTAATGCTCCAGTACAGAGCTGGTATAGAGCTAGTATAGGTTAACGTGAATGATGAGACTCTAGTGATGTTTGTAATTCAGCCAAGTAGATCTTATATGTAGCACTGATCAAAGAAAGCCCAACTACTCACATAGGCTGCCAACAACCTCTCAGGGGTCACTCTGTACTGTAAATATATATTCCAAGTTTGATCTGCCTCTATACATCTGATCAATTTTTATACCATAAATATCCAAAAAAAATCTAATATTCTAAAGCCATAGTACCATAAATTACCATGAAAAAAAAAGGTAATACCGTAAATATCCTCAAAATTCCAATCGGTACCATAAATATCATAACCAAATAACTTAATTAACTTATAATTTCAAAAAAGATAACACGCATGTACAAAACTGTTGTGATTGATCAATGAAAGTCAGTTTGAAAGGTACCTCAAAAACTTCTGACAGCAACCGTGTGTAGCATGTCTTTAACAGCCCAGTTTTTATAGCAATAAATTGTCAGTATATACCTACATCTACTAGAGTAAATATGTGATATCAATGTTATTCTTGTGACATGTATCTATATAGATATCAAATTATCTTTAGGAAAGATAATTAATATCAATGATAATTTGAGGTTCTTACAAAGATCGTCTTAAAGCAGTTCACAAATTATTATCTGTGGTTATAGGACCTTTGCGACCAGCCAATATTTCTCAACTCCCTGGGGAGCATACACCCGGTGCTGCCATTTCGGTGCTCACAGCTAGCATTCTACAATTCTAGCGCTGCCAAACCACGTACTCATTTACATCTGAGTAGACTGGAACAAGTGGAGTAAAGTATCTTGCTCAAAGATACAACACAGTGCCGTGCCGTGACTCGAACACGCAACCCTTCGGTCACGAGCCCGGCGTCCTACCATTAGACTACCCTGCCTTTGTAATAGATGATGTCATACGTAAGATAATGTTCTGAGATGTAAATTCTAAAATATATTTATAAACATGGCTTTGTAACAGTTACCCACTAATATGTAAAGTTAACCAGATTAACGGGAGATTCTGTTTTTTCAATATTTGCAGAGTTGTTTCCCTTTCATAGCCTCAATTTAAATATATTTTTTCTAATACCTTTCAATTCAAAATGGGTTACAATCACTTATACTTTCATTCCTTAAAATAACCATGAAACATGCTCCTAACAGTCTGTAAGTGTTATAAAAAAATTGAGAAGGCCTTCTGTTATGCTTCTCTAACTTCTCTTTTTAGCATTCTACATGTGTTGATAACTTACCAGATGCTCATGAATAGGGCCTATGAAACAGCATTAAGTCATTGAATATCAAGTCTACACAACAAAAAATTGTAAACCTGACACAAACACTCCGATAAAACTTATAAACTGGAACTTGACCAGAGCAAAACGTAAAATCATTTCATCTCAATCCAACATTTTAACAGAATTCCAGTGTACAGACAAACATGTCTTCCCACTGCTGGCAACAGTAGACCCATAAAATCTGGTATGTGGACAATAACATCTTATAAAATATGTTATATATACATTCTTGATCACTGAAACTGATAATCACAGACATCAACAGAAAAATTTGCCTTCATCTATTGAGGAAGCAATGCCAACTGTTATAATGTCCAGCCCAGTGCTAGTTAAACCTGTCTCAGCTAATGGCTGTATCATAATGACTGGGAATCTACCTAGTGAAACCTGTCTCAGCTAATGGCTGTATCATTATGACTGGGAATCTACCTAGTGAAACCTGTCTCAACTAATGGCTGTATCATAATGACTGGGAATCTACCTAGTGTCTCATCAGCTAATGGCTGTATCATTATTACAGGGTATCTACCAAAAACAGACTTTCAGTTTCAATGTAGGTCCTAATGTAGCCATTCTTTCTGTAAACCGAGTAATCTTTAAGCCAGTATACTACCTGTGGAAACAAAATTATGCAATTCTAAGGTGGTTTTAGTAACGTATCCTTTGTCCCCACTGGACAAGACTGGGACCAGAATGTTTGGCCACACTGGACAGGACTGAGACCACACTGGACAGGACTGGGACCACACTGGACAGGACTGGGATCAGAATGTTTGGCCACACTGGACAGGACTGGGACCAGAATGTTTGGCCACACTGGACAGGACTGGGACAAAAATGTTTGGCCACACTGGACAGGACTGGGACCAGAATGTTTGGCCACACTGGACAGGACTGGGACCAGAATGTTTGGCCACACTGGACAGGACTCAGGGACCAGAATGTTTGTCCCCACTGGACAGGACTGGGACCAGAATGTTTGTTCCCACTGGACAGGACTGGGTCCAGAATGTTTGGCCACACTGGACAGGACTCAGGGACCAGAATGTTTGGCCACACTGGACAGGACTGGGACCAGAATGTTTGGCCACACTGGACAGGACTGGGACCAGAATGTTTGGCCAATTTTATTTAGTATTCCTTTGGATAAATCAACATTTTGACTGTAAGGCAATATATTTTGAAATGAAGCAATGATTTTGTAAGAACAGAAAGTGAAGATATTATATTTCAATGTTTATGATTTTCAAAAATTTATAATGAACAACATCAACAGTGCATATTATTTTACATCCAGTAAAAATATTTTTTGCAGTATAGGCTGCCCTTAATCAATGGATGAATAAGTAAAGATTGATGTAAGTGTTATCATTTGACTTCATCCCAGTATGCAGACAAGTATTAAACTAACATTCCAGCATGGTGGCTACCAGTTTGACCAAGCATGAGTAGGGTGACATAGGACACAGTCATGTCGCTAACGTTGAGGCAGGAACACAAAACTGTCCGAGTGAATGTAACAGCTATAAAATCACACACTAAGTCACAGAAATCTAAAGGAAACCACCTGTAAGTGTTTACATAGGCTTGTCCTACAACAGGTACATTGGGCCTGTACTAGTAAGACATTTTTGAATGTGATATTTTCTAGTAAAATGAACATTACTACATTGAAACGGGCATGCTAAATGACTTGCTGTAGATAAATTGGCGAGGTTAATATCTGAGTCTTTCTTTAATTCAATAGTCAATGTCACAAAGGTCAACCATTTCTCATTTTGTTTCATTGTCTACAACAACTGTTTATCTGTTGGGAGTGTCTATAGGCTCATTTTCATCTGTTGAGAGTGTCTATAGGTTCATTTTCATCTGTTGAGAGTGTCTGTAGGCTCATTTTCATCTGTTGGGAGTATCTATAGGCTCATTTTCATCTGTTGGGAGTGTCTGTAGGCTCATTTTCATCTGTTGAGAGTGGCTATAGGCTCATTTTTATCTGTTGATAGTGTCTATAGGCTCATTTTCATCTGCTCTGCTTGGATGGCCAAAGTCAACCTTTTCTATGCTTGGAACGACAATGCATATGTCATCCTTTTCTATGCTTGGATGGCCAGTCATCCTTTTCTTTGTTTGGATGGCCAGTCATCCTTTTCAATGCTAGGATGGCCAAAAGCAACCTTTTCTATGCTTGGATGGCCGGTCATCCTTTTCTATGTTTGGATGGCCAGTCATCCTTTTCAATGCTAGGATGGCCAAAAGCAACCTTTTCTATGCTTGGATGGCCAGTCATCCTTTTCTTTGTTTGGATGGCCAGTCATCCTTTTCAATGCTAGGATGGCCAAAAGCAACCTTTTCTATGCTTGGATGGCCAGTCATCCTTTTCTTTGTTTGGATGGCCAGTCATCCTTTTCAATGCTAGGATGGCCAAAAGCAACCTTTTCTATGCTTGGATGGCCGGTCATCCTTTTCTATGTTTGGATGGCCAGTCATCCTTTTCAATGCTAGGATGGCCAAAAGCAACCTTTTCTATGCTTGGATGGCCAGTCATCCTTTTCTTTGTTTGGATGGCCAGTCATCCTTTTCAATGCTAGGATGGCCAAAAGCAACCTTTTCTATGCTTGGATGGCCAGTCATCCTTTTCTTTGTTTGGATGGCCAGTCATCCTTTTCAATGCTAGGATGGCCAAAAGCAACCTTTTCTATGCTTGGATGGCCAGTCATCCTTTTAGGCTCATTTTCATCTGTTGAGAGTGTTTATAGGCTCATTTTCATCTGTTGAGAGTGTTTATAGACTCATTTTCATCTGTTGAGAGTGTCTGTAGGCTCATTTTCATCTGTTGGGAGTATCTATAGGCTCATTTTCATCTGTTGAGAGTGTCTATAGGCTCATTTTTATCTGTTGAGAGTGTCTATAGGCTTATTTTCATCTGTTGAGAGTGTCTATAGGCTCATTTTCATCTGTTGAGAGTGTCTATAGGCTCATTTTCATCTGTTGAGAGTGTCTATAGGCTCATTTTCATCTGTTGAGAGTGTCTATAGGCTCATTTTCATCTGTTGAGAGTGTCTATAGGCTCATTTTCATCTGTTGAGAGTGTCTATAGGCTCATTTTCATCTGTTGAGAGTGTCTATAGGCTCATTTTCATCTGTTGAGAGTGTCTATAGGCTCATTTTCATCTGTTGAGAGTGTCTATAGGCTCATTTTCATCTGTTGAGAGTGTCTATAGGTTCATTTTCATCTGTTGAGAGTGTCTATAGGCTTATTTTCATCTGTTGGG